TTTAAATAGATAACAGTTTGAACACATGAGCCAGCACAGGTCCCATTCATAAGTTACAACACTGATCAAACAAGACTTAATGCTTAAAACCCTGCTAATGCAGATAAATTTATCAAATTTAGTATTAAAGTTGGCTGTAATACTTGATCCAGTTGTCTTGGTTAACTATAGACTGATCTCCAAATTTCTTAGTGCACTGCCAGCACCCGAACCCTAAAAGACAGAATCAACCTGGCTTGAGGGACACAGGCAGAAATCAAACAGGATCAAGAAGCTCTGAAGGAACATGGGGAACAATCAACCTACAGGACCTGAAGCTAAGTTCTACAAAGATACAAAAATATTTGAGTATGCAGATTTGAGTTAACGTTATGGAGTTACCTGGTGCACTAAGCGTGAGGAGAACTGTCACAAGCCATGCAGAAAGGTAAAGAAACCTAGGGACTGTGAGAAAATCAAAAGTGGAAAATGTACAATTTGTATCAACAAGTCTTCTGCAGATGCTCGTGTGTAAGACAGCCAGTTCACCCTACAAGTTCAGAAGACAAAACATGTGAAGAAGTTTGAGAAGAATAAATCAGAACAGAGAAAGAGAAGGTCGAGACACTGGAGGAGATGAGGAGCAGAGTGGGTGAAGGAAGCAGAGCAGATTTGAGATACAGGTTTGATAAATACCAGGAGCTGGTAAACAGTTTAATACATGATGACATCATTATTGTTTAATGATGTAAGAAGGAGACTGTGAGCAGACAGAGAAATAATTCTATGTTAGAAGCTTAGCAGCTTATTTAAACTGACTGAACTCTGTAACACTGACCAGTTATTTCTCCATTTCATTAGAAAAGCTTCTGTTTCTTCTTCAGAGGCTTTAAAATGATTCATGATGATCAATAAACATATTGTATGAACAACATCTGAGTGTTTCACATTTTCCAGTTCTGATTAAGGTTTTTATAATAAACTGGAACAATTTTGTGTTTTTACAAAGTGAATAAAATTAAACAAGAATGTCTTTTTACAGCTTGAGGAGACTTTGATAGAAACCTTCTTCAGCATGGAGGGCCAACGCTGGTTTCTGGCCCAGAGGAGGACAGACGTTACAGACAGGAGAAAAACCCTCACAGATTATCCCATCAGTGTCACACAGAGCAGGACTCCCTTTATGTCTGATTTGATGTGTCCAGCTGCAGATAATCAATAACCGGACTCATGGAGAGTAAAGCATATCTTACTGGTGAAAGTGAGCGTCTGTCTCAGATTCTCTTTACCTCTAAACACCACAAATAACACGAGAGAAAAACATCCAGAGGTATTTTAATGTATTTATTT